TTAAAGTATACATATTGCTGCATGCAAGATAAATATTTTCATGTCTAAAAAAATGACTCGTCGTTTTTTGAAAATATTATTCGCATTTCATTTTTCCTGCTGCCTCAGCTATACGCAGAAACCAAAAGACGAACAAGTGGAAATTCGAGTGTTAAATGTACAATATACGATTTTGCTCAGTAAACATTGTTGTTATAACTAAATTCTAACTAGTTCGTATATACGTAGTTTCGTATTTGAAAATGGACAAGATTCGATGTGAAATGTGGCATCAAAAATCACACCAGACTCAACACTGAAGATGAGAAGAAACGCTTCTGACAGCGATAGGCAGACCAAAATAACGATAAAATTATTAAATGTGTGGACCGCTATATTTTATATATTTTAAATATTCAAAAATTCCCTATGAAAGATAATATAAATCGCACGAAGGAACAAAAAATCAACACTACCCAAAATAAAAAGACAATATTTTGCTTCTATTTTATTAACCTATAATTTTTAAAACAATTGCTTATTGATGTTCTGGACAAACAAATGTTATTTAGTTGGCTATCGAAAAAAGACAAGACCGGTTATCCAGATCTGAAATTGAAGTTGATCTTGAAGTTCAATTTAGCTTGTTTAAAACCTCTTTTACTCTAATTCTGGTTATGATGCGTACAATTTTTACAAATCAAATCTGCTGAATGGTACTGAAGCAATTTTTAACTGTGGGGTGTGAGGTGGTAATTTGTATTAATCTGATGGAATGTAAATGGAGTTCACCTTCCCAGGATACTCACCTTGAGCAAACTGGAGCCTAAAGAAGAAAAAAAAAATACGCGAATTATTAGAAAGATTATTTACGGAGAAATTTAATACCAAAACGGATTATGATTAATTTTGTCGTCAGTTTAATTGTTGATGCGGTGTTAAAGAAGCCCAGAACAATTCGAGAGCGTTCTGGCGACGCAGCACGGTCATCCTTGACCCAATGCTTTGGGGGTTCCTTGTTGTTCAACCGTATCATTCCACCAGAAAGATTTCGTTTAAAAATAGACAAAATAAATAGAAATCGAACAACTTGTACCTACCAGATCAAAAATCTGGCTGGAATGTGGTAAATAGTATTCAAGTTTTTCCCATTTATATTTTAAAAAGACTTTTGAAGTAGTATTTCAGCTTTTGTGACCACCTAGCGTCTATTTTTAATAATGCTGAGGAATGGATGCAATGAAATGCCTATCAGCAGCTACTAAGGTTACTAAGTAGCTAGCTCTTTGCGTAAGCGCAGATTATCTGTTATATAATTGATGATTCTCTTATTATTGTTTAAATACGATTATCGTTTAGCAAGCTGATTCAGAAAATCTGATTCAGTAGGAGTTGGCAAATTCATTGTAAAAAATCAAATCGGTCAGAAGAAATCATCCCTGCGTTGTCCCTTGCCTCTCCCTTTTTATACCCCGATGTTGTTCCATCTGACTACGGGCTTATTCACTTTAAAAGAACAATTTTTGCAAAGGCAACAGTTGAAAACTAAGTGGGCGTAAATTTACGTATGTGTTTCAAATAGACATGTTCATTTGCTTTTGGATGGCATCAGTGGCTTGCCTCTCCCTACTTATAAACCCGCTCCTGCTCCATCTAATTGTGGTCTTACTCGTTTAAAAGAAAATTTGAAAGGGGGTTTGAAAATACATATATGTTTTACAATAAAATTTTAATTCGTAATGGAAAGCGTCAATGCCTCCCCCTGCTTATAACCATAATGATTCTCCAAAACTTGACTAATTTAACATCGTCGTTTTCAAGCATAAATGACTTTGAAATGGACAATATTTGTACATGACATTAGTAACAACTGAAGATTTTCGCCTTAAATTTCATCTAAAGGTTAATGCAAGACGACTTGTAAAGTATTCACACAAAAAAGTATTATACATTAAATGTAATATTGTGTGAAATGTAATATATGTGAACGACCTTTCGAGATTGCCGACATTTATGATGTATAACCTGAATAGGTTAAGCAATTCAATTTAAATTTCCTCTTCCTAAAGTTTAAAACTTGATTTAGAACAGGCCTTCGATCGAGTCTGGCACTCGGGCTTGCTTTGGAATAAGAACATCCTCCCTCATACGTACTATCTCATGAGATCTTAACTGACGGACTGATTTTGCTGAGTTCCGCTTATATAAGATGGGCGTTTCTCAGGGAAGCATACTTGGCCCATTTCTATTTTCAATACATGCTGCAGATATTCCTACACCAATTCAACATGGTAATACAATATTTGTAGTTGTATCAAATAAATGTATTAAAAAGCCAGATCTATTAATGAAAAATTAACTAGATTTGCTCAGATTAGGAGGCCTTGCTCGATTTTTGCACAAAACATTTATGTTGTATTAAATATTGGGTTGTCCGGAAAATAATGCAGGATTTTGGTATTAAACAAAAAAAAAGAAACTAGTTACTTTAAAGCAATGTTCTTTAATCAAAATAATTTCCCATACTCTCAATACATTTCTCCCAACGTGTTGGTAACTTATTAATTCCGTCTGAGTAGAATTCAGAATTTTTAGAATTGATAAAGTCAATAAATGCATTTTCCAGTTCCGTTTGATTTTTGAATATTATGTGTTGTAAGTAGTGGTCCAGGTGTCTAAAAAAATGGTAGTCAGTAGGCGAGAGGTCCGGAGAGTAGGGTGGGTGAGGCAAAGTTTCATAGCCAAGCTCCAATAATTTTTGTGACGTTACACGTGACACATGTGGTCGAGCGTTGTCATGCAACAAAATGGGCCCTTTCCGATTGACCAAAGAGGGCTTCATTACTGCCAATTTCTGATGCATGGTATTAATTTGGTTACAGTATGATTCAGCATTGATGGTTTCGCCAGGATTTAAGAAGCTGTAGTGTATTAAACCAAATGAAGCCCACCATACCGTAACCATTACCTTTTTTTGATGAGTTGGGGGCTTTGGAAAATGTATTGGAGCTTCTCCTTTGTCGAGCCACTGTCCAGAACGTCTAGTGTTATCGTAGAGAATCCACTTTTCGTCACATGTAACAATTCTGGCCAGAAATGGGTCATTTTTGTTTCGACAAAGAAGTGATGCACAAACATCAAAGCGCTGATTTTTTTGGCGATCGTTTAATGAGTGTGGAACCCAATTTTCGAGTTTTTTCACTTTTCCAATCGCCTTGAGGTGGTCAGCGACGGTCGTTTTACTGACTTTGAGTTGCTCTGCAAGTTCTCGAACAGTTGTTTTGGGGTTTTCTTCCACCACTGATCGCAGAACATCATCATTAAGAGAGGAAGGCCTTCCACGACCTTCTTCATCTTCAAGGCTGAAATCTCCCTCCCGAAATTTTTTAAACCACCTTTGCACAGTGCACTCATTAACACAACCCTCGCCCCAGACTTGGTTAATGTTTCTAGCCGTTTGGGCTCCGCTTCGGCCGAGTTTAAACTCGTAAAAGAAAATCGTACGAAATTCTCGCTTTGACATTATAAGGATGACTGAATTATTTCCAAGTAGCGGAATGCTACAGAGGTAAACAAACAATATCATTTGGAAGAGGATTAATAAGTGTTGACATTCATACAAATGAGTAATCCTGTAAACGTAAACAGAATATTTTATATAGATTTTTTTTAATGAAAACTTAAAATCCTGCATTATTTTCCGGACAACCCGATACGTGGACAAATGATGACGCCACTTGCTGGGTATTAAAACAAATATGCGAATGAAAATGCGTTTAGTTTTTTCGTAAAAGGAATACTACTGTTGATTAGAAAAACAAAATTAAGACGGTTAGAACCATGTATGAACATTGTTAATAATTTATTGCATGTATGTTTAATTATTTCTCTAATTATTTATGAATACATTTATTTATTAACTAGTTAAACATTTATGATTTAAATTTAAAAAAAGATCCTTCATATGACGCCAGAATATCGATGGGTAATTTATCAACAAAGTCCCTAGAATAGCAGACCGCCGCCACGAGTCCGTCCCGGATTAGGCTTCACAACCAAAAGAACAATGTAACAAGAAAAGAATAAATAAGGAGAACTAGAAGGGGACACCCGTACCCAAAGTTTTGTTATTCTGATGGAACCACTGGGGAAAAGAAATTGTTAATAAAAAAGAAATAAACAAAGTAGAACTTAAATTATTAAGCACAATAAATTAAATAGAATCCAAAATCCCTCCGACCCGGTAGTGAGAGGCAACAATCCTTAAATACAGCCAGTAGAAATGGAAGGAAGCATAGTGGGTTATTTTTTGCATTGTATAAATTCTCTTTTTTCCACATCCTACATGTATTTGTTAAATTTAAACAATTTTTGTAAATCCCAGGCCCTGATGATGATATCACTAAAGATCGAAACGTTGGCACAATAAAGAAAATGTTTTTCTAACCTACGTCACACCAGACCGCATCTCACGATTTCCGAATCGAGTAACGGTCACTAATCATCACACACGTTAGAACCATGTATGAGAAAGAACATTCAATAGTTTGCAAATCAAAAACCGATCTATTTTAATGAGGACAAAAACTAATTGAGTTCAACAAAAGTTGAATCGTGAGAACGCGCCTTGGATATAAATATGATCTTTAAATAATTTAAACCTGGATGAGTAATAAGTACAGTGATGGAATGTAGACATGACATGGACATAGTTTTGCTTTTGGGTTTAATGGAATGGACTTTGCCTGTCCCACATAAACGTGTTCAGTTAAATACGGAAAGTAGGTAGAAAGTCAACTAAATTGAGATGCGACCTTGTAGAAACGGTCAAACGGTACGCCTGTATCGTAAACAAAGCCCGTTTTTATTAATTTATTACCTGGCCCGGAAGGGAACTAGGTACGCCGAAGAGTTCGAAATCCAAGAGAGCAGAGGAGCGTCGGTTTATTCTTGGAATCCGTCCTCGGCGGGGTTCGGCTCTTTCCGACCCATCTCGTGCTTCCACCATATTCCATTCCACATCAAAGACCACACGAGTTTAGTTTAGTCTTTAGTTTGTGTCACGTTCTACAACAAGTCGGTGGACAACGTCATTCCCCTCCTGCGACCGACCGGTGCGCAAAGTTCGCAAGTCCGCTGTCGAACCGCGACAGGAAAACTTACCGGAAAACTGGACGGCAGGCTTTTTGCCGAGAGTCATGTGAGACGGACCGGAAGTAGCAAGGTCAGTTGACATCGCCTGTTGATTTCTTTATGTCATTGTCTGTTAATTGGCACCCCGTCTTTTCGTACCAATTACTTGTTTCTTTAACCCTGCCGAACTTTAGTAAAATAACCAACGCCCCGAGATTTCTCTGAAGAAAAACCCATTTTCTAATATAACAAAAACTACCAAATCTAGTATAAAATATAAAAACTACTCCCAGGAGATTTTTTCTCCCAAATAAAAAGTTATTTTATAATATAAAATAAATATACATCAGTAAAAGTACAAAACAGGTAAAAATATTATTCAATGGACAGATCATGTGGGGTCCCCAAGAAAAAGTTGATATTGAAATGTGAAAATATTTTTATGCTTATCACTTTTTTAATAACTAAAATTAGAGGCTATAATGTACATATACGTATACTTAAATTATTTCTACAATTGTTCAGGAAGAATATTAACTTTTTTCTTAAGAAGAAGTCTTGCAACTTATTGAATATTTTGTAAGGAAATTTTTAAAAGACAAAAATTGTAAAATAATTTTTCTATTCACCACCTTCTATTCAAAATATATAATTAAGCATCAAAAACCTATTCAGAGAATAAGAAAAAAAATTGATCAAAGTTGAAAGGTATAGTTTTTTCCTCCACAATATAAAGCCCACACGTTAAGTCTCGTTATTATCCAAAACAATGGATCATAGTTAAATTTAAGCCTACGCAAATACATTAAGAGTCCAAATATTCAATTTCCCAGGCTGCAAACACTGTTCACTGAAAATTTTTATGAAGAGGATCTTGCAGCTATATGGATATTTTGTAAGGAACTTTTAAAGGAAAAAAGTTGTAAAATAATGCTTACATTTACCACATTTGCCAAACTTTTCGTCCATTGTTCAACCTAAATATTAAGTTAATTAATCTTTATATAAGGTATTGGCTGAGATCAAAAATATTAAGCCTATAATAAGTCTATATAAGTCTAAATATTAGGTCTCGCTATTATCCTAAATAATAGATCATTGTTAAATTTAAACCTGAGCAAACAGATTAAGAGTCCAACTATTGAATTTACCAGGTTATTAGTCAAAAAATAGTCCAGGAAGATTTTTCACACTCAAAAAAAAAAAAAATCACAATGTTATATCCAAATTCTTAGGAATTGGGTCTTGCAAGTTTATGAATATTTTTGTAAGGAACTTTTTGAATCATAAAAACTGTAAAATAATGTTTCCATTTGAAACGTTTCGTGATATCAAAATATGAAGGAAGATGCGCTTAACCTAGAACTTATTCAAAAATACGAAAAAAATTACGAAAGTTTTTTTCCTTTCGTCCACAGTTTAAAGCCCACACGTTAAGTCTCGTAATTATACAAAATAATAGATCATTATTAAATTTAACCCTCTGCAAATAGGGTTTAACTATTGAATTTGCCGAGCTACAAAGCCAAAGAAGAGTCTTGTAAAAACACGAAAAAAATCGTCGCAAATTTATATGAAGATTCTTAGGAAGGGAGTCTTGAAACTTTATGAATATTTTGTAATGAAAATTTTAAAGTATAAAAATTGTAAAATAATATTTCCATTTCCCAGCCTCTTGTACTATTAAAAAATAGTACATATCTCTTCAGAAAATAGGAAAAAAATTATCAATGTTGAAAGGTACCCTTTCCGTCCAGAGAGTAAAGCCCTCAATGTTGAGCCTCGTTATTATTCAAAATAAAAGTTCTCCGTTAAGTTTACACATCTTCAAATAGATTAAGAGTCCAACTACTGAATTCTTCAGTTTAAAAAATCAAAGAAAAGCCATGGAGGAATACAACACAGTTGAACAAATCATCACAAAGTTATATCAAAATTCTTAGGAAGGGGGTCTTGCTATTTATGAATATTTTGTAAGGGACTGTAAGGCCATAGTTATTATCAAAAATAATAGTTCGTTGGTTAAATTTAAACCTCGGCGAATTGATTAACGGTTCAACTGTTGCATTTCTTAAACTGTGAAGTCAAAGAAAAAGCTATGGAAGAAACACGGTTACAAAAAAATCATTACAAAGTTATACAATCAAATTCAATAATCAAAATTCTTAGTAAGGGTAGTTTTCTGAATATGTTGTAAGGAACTGGTTTTAACGATTAAAATTGTAAAATGTTTCCATTTACAATATCTGGTATGATGTGCTGGTTAAGCTAGAATGTATTCAGAAAATAAGAAAAAAATTGATCCAAGTTAAAATGTACATGTGTGATGTTTAGTGACCGTTAATTAATGATTATTTGGAGATCGTGAGTTGCGGTGTTGTGTGACGTAGGTTTAGAAAAACATTTTCTTGATCGTGCCAACGTTTCGATCCTTATTGAGATCATCTTCAGAGCTCAAAGTGTTTGTTTTCTGTGTGGATCTGTCATTATTGTGCGTGAGTGCCCTGTCAACACGATACACAGTAATTACACATCTACACAGAAAACGAACACTTTAAGCCCTGAAGATGATCTCAATAAAGATCGAAACGTTGGCATGATGAAGAAAATGTTTTTCTAAACCTACGTCACACCAGACCGCACCTCACGTTCTCCAAATAATCATTAAAAGACATGTCAAAAACATTTTCTTCTTTTTGTCCATAGTTTAAAACCCAAATATTAAGTCATCCAAAATAATAGAGCATTGTTAAATTAAAACCTCTGCGAGTGTTCAACCATTGTATTTCTCCAACTGTAAAGTCAAAGAAAAAGCCATGGAAGAATTTAACACGATTGAAAAAATCATCACAAAGTTATACATATCAAAATTCTTAGGAAGGACGTCTTTCAATTTTCTGAATATTTTGCAAGGAACAAGGTTGTTATTAAAATTGTAAAATGTTGATGAAATTGATTAAAACTGTAAACTGATTAAAATTGAAAACTGATTAAAATTGTAAAATGTGCTGCTTAAGTTAGATTCAAAAAATAAGAAAAAAATTAATCCAAGTTAAAAGGTCTACTTTTGTTTATTTTTGTCCACAGTTTAAAAGCCAAACATTATAAGTCTCGCTATTATCCAAAACAATAGAGCAATGTTACATTTAAACCTCTGCAAATTGATTAAGGGTTCAACTATTCTTAGGCTATAAAGTCAGCTCCAGGATTGAGGGTGTTTCGGAATCGTGCGCCATTCTGTGAATAACTGCATTCGAATTTCTGCGGCCTGTAAATAGCCCGAATTCCTTTAAGTGAGAACCTGATGCTTCTTCTGTACTTATTATGTGGGGTAATTTTCACTTTCCAGGCCCACGTCATTCATCGAAAGTACATCGACCCAATATGATGACCGAGTTTTTACCATATTATTTTTTTCGAGGTCAATCAATATGAGAAAAATATTAAAGAGAGATATGAACTTTTTTCAGTTCATGGACAATCAGAGTAGCGAATATTTAACAACTATCTAGTTTCAAGCAATTCAAACACTGAAGCCAAACTGGTTTTTCTTCATTTTGCCTGGTGTTTGTTCAAGGCAGAATTTCTTATCAGAAAGACTTTAAGGAAGTATTCAAAAAATATAAGACTGCCACTACTAAATTCGTTACGTCCCCTTTGAATTTAAATTTTGTCTTATCTCGTTTTGTCACGTAATTTCGTCCTCTTCCTGTTTGGCAATTATTCGGATCGATTGCGTGAATAATGAAATAGCTATAGGCTACCTTTTCATCGTGTTAATGAACAGAACAGAAAAACTGAATTAAAGAAAATCCCAGGTAAAAAAGGATCAACAAAGAATCACTGACGAGTGATTAAAATAACTAATTAATCGTTTTTAAAAGAGGATTAACGTGAAGAATCCACTTATCAATATGCATTTACAGACTGATTTAATGTCATTTTACAATTTAACAATTAATCCGGTCATAATTTTGTTTGGAAAAAAATCTTGCGCGTATAAGTTATCGGCTTTATTGACAAAGCAAATACATTTTTGATTAAGATCAAGTTCAAACGATGTTTGGGAAGAATAAAAACCCGAAACGACTAGAGAGGTTTTGTTATGGCATACATATGGATCTAAAATGTAACATGGAGTCCTGTGAAGGCACAGATTTTGATCTAGCAAAACATGGACCCACACCAACGACTTTCAACCATACAATTGAACTTGTGCACAAGAAATACTTTAAAAGGGATTGAAAGGTAGCACAGAGATACATTTTCTCAAACTCCTTTTTCAACTTTAGATTCCTCCACCCACAAAGTCTAGGAATGCCATGAAGGGATTGAAGGCAACGAACAGGCTAACAAACTAGTAAAACCAAGAGCATTACCCAAAAGTGGAACTGAACAAATGGGTATAGAAAGAAATTAGCACATGCTGGATGAATTCACTAGGTTTAAAACATCAAAGTAGTAAACAGTGCTCGGAACGCGAGGAGAGAGACGGTCTCTCTGTTTGAAATGTGAAAATCAACCAGGAAAACCTCACCTCTCAAATTTTCCCTCCTTTTTGCCATTTTTTAAATATCGTGTAATCTATTCGATTCTCGGCGACAAATGAAATTGAGGTGGGAAGTTCGTGTCTGAGTGGATCGAAGTGACGATAGCTCAAGTGGTAGAGCAGCGGCGTATTTAGTCGAAGGTCGTGGGTTCGAATCCCGCTCGTGACACTAACTTTTTCATTTCAACCAATACCTTACATAAAGATTAATTAATGGAAAAGAGTTATTCGGACCACGAACTTTAATGGATTAAGGAAAATATTAGGCCTTTATGCAGGCTATTGCCCATCTAATAAACTACATAAAAAATGGAAAAAAGACAGAATGAATAGGCAGAAATATCGGAGCATGTCCTTTGTGACCGCAAAGCGTACAGCCTTTTCGGAAGGTTGTAAGAAATAAGTGAAGCTTAATCGTAAATCATCAAATCATCAATCAATACCATCAACGTTAGTTAATCATGTTTATCATTTGTCTACGTGTATCACGTCTATTTCTTTTTTTAAAGAGTAAATAACATAATTTTTGCAAAATGATAAGC